TCATTGTGATAAATGGAGTATTTAGATGCCGTAAGGGCTGTGGAACGTAATGGAGGCCCTCCACTTTCCACCCGCATGCTCCGGCTGATCAGACACGCAGCTCTGCACCAATTCTACATGGAGGACACAGGCCAAACTGTTGACCCTCACACCAGAAGGAGGAAGGTAATCACTTCTACCTCGTAAAGAATCAGATGGTTCAGTTTGCCTAAAATATTAGATGCCTGACACAGAAGCCGGTATTTGACACTTGATACGCATAGGATGCAAGCTGTCAGTATAAAAAACTTGATACAAGGGCCTGTGCAAGATCATACAGTAGTGGTCTTCTGGAAATGCAGCTGAGGTTACTGTCCTAAGTTGAAGCACAGCCTACTTCTAATCTAGAAATGGGAAGAGAGTGGGTAACAAGGAAGATACCCAGGAAGTTTTATGCATGCCTTGCCCATGCCCCTGAATCTTTTTTCCTGGGCTCTACTAGACTTACTTCAAGTTCTATGTGATAAATACCAGCTTAGGTAACACGTGATACAAACAAAGATTCTGCTTAGCACCCTTCCCCGTTATAATAACAATTATTCAGTAACCCTTGGGAAACATTAAATTCAAAGATATAATATTTTAATTAGATTATTTTAAAAATACGCTATTTAATTGCCTCCAGGTAAACTATTATATGTACACTAGAAAGAGGTCTAAAGCATTATTACTTCATTAAAAAGCAGGCTGAGATTAAGCAAACTGCTTTTATTACTTGTATGTAGACTCAGAAGTCACAAACCGGAAGAAGGTCACTAACGGGGACATTAAACACTTTCGCTAGGAAGCAGAGAAGCAATTACAGACACTTTAATGCTACTAATAATTCTGATTAAATTAAATTCATGTTTGAAAATAGGACAGCACAAGACGCAGATGAAACGTCTGACAGCGGGGCACCCAGGCCTTGACTGTCTCAGGGAAAGAGGAACGACATACTGAGTCTCTTTGACTAGGTTTTCAAATGACCGTCTCACGTGACTACGTCGTAGTCCGTAAAGTGATGTGGATACTGTCTAAATCTAGGACAGAGACGGAGCTACTTTCTTGCCACACTGATCAAGACAGAGATACTTTCCCTTGACATATACCAACGGTGGCAATCGATTGGTAGGCTGGCAATCTCAGTCACAGCCTTTGACTCTGGAGCCTGTTATTTGATCTCAGACTGAATTTCTCCCTCAGTTTTCACATCTAAATGGGCTGGAACTTAAGGTCCTGTCAGTTGTACTTTCTGTGCACCCACATGAACGAATCATTGCCTCTAGCTGTGAAACACTTGGGCTACCATGGTTTCTGTTTTAAATCCATATTTTAAGAACTTTGTAAACAAGACATATTGGGAAAGAATAAGAGGATAAACAGGAATATGAATATATGCATATATATATATATATATATATATATAATTTTAAAAGTGGGGCATGGTTGCTCACACCTGCATTCCCAACATCTGAGATGCTGAAGCCGGATGCTGGCTCCAAGTCTGAGGTCAGTTTGAGTTACACATCAGCCAGAGCTACATTGTGGGACCCTTTCTTAAAAACAAAACTCATAATAACAATCTGAACTAGCGAGTTTTCACTATCTTGACTATAATCCCTCTGAGGAGTCTCAGAACCTCAGCATCACGTAGGAGGAAGGCACAGCCGTTAAGCCTGGATATGGAGAGGATATGGAGATTTCCAAAGAAGAGCCTGCCTCTCATAGAAAAGGTCAGCAAACTGAAGTATCCATCCGCCTGGGATCTCAACAAGTTGGTGGAAGAAAACAGTTAAAGGACTTGGCTGAGATGATGGGGAATGAAGACCAGAAACAGTCTTGGAGGGCAAAAACTACAATTAAAATGAAATGCAAAGGCTAACTGCAAAAGTGATGACTAAGGGGGGCTGGAGTAGGGACTTCAGTTTTTGAGACAGCTGAAACCTATCTCAAACTAAGCCTGATGAACTAGCCCAGCCTTCACATTGTCAATAAAAACTTGGGAGCAATGAGAAGAAATAAAATCATGTTCTTGGGTAGCTAAAAACAGACTTTATTATAGACAGTATCCAAAATGCATTTGTAGAGGGCATTTGGATGGCACACTCACTGGGTAGATGTGGACTATAGAGAGCTCCCTCAATGGCGCCATGGCTGGGTAAATGTGAAGCCTCATAGTAAGACTACTTTCAAGAACATTCAATTGCAAATATGTGTTCTGACATGCTGCTCTCATTAAACTCCTAAAAACTAAAGTGTCCCAAAGAACAGAAGCTATTCTGAAGCTAAGGCCAAAATCTGAGCAATACTTTTAGTTTTAAGTGTACAACAAAGTATTTGGGTAGTTTTACTCAAAAAGGACAAAGTTTTAAGGAAAAAGCATCACACAGGTAAACTATCTGGAGTCAAAGCACGCCAAGGGACTGTCAACAACAGTGAGGCTGACAGTCATGCTTATTAGCGGTTACATTGTAAATACATTTTCATGACACGACATAGGATTTAATGTATACAATCTTGCCACTGATTGATTTTAACAGGGGCTGACAGCTGCTATTTTCAAAACCCATCAGCTGTGCATAATTTGTTCCATTAACAGGTGAGCGTGTAAGCAGAGTGCATCCTTACACAGGACGTCTATGCTAAGTCACACCATGTAATTTAATATTCATAGAAAAGCTGTGACACTTGAGAAAAAATGCTTTAATCTCCAAATGCTAGGACTCGATTACATGTCAATCTCTCCATACTCCCCAGTACGGCTTTCAATCTCACTTCCCATCAACAGAACACTGCTAGACAAAATAAAACCCATTCCGAGGCTCCCAAAGCAGACAGTGAAACACGAGTTCCTGCTTCACTTGGAGAGGAGGGCTTAAGGCTCTCAAAAACAAGACAAAAACAGTAAAGTACTAAGATAAAGCAAAACCTGACCATTGCACCCACTAAGTTCCATCAAGTACTGAAGACCAAGCACAGTTTCTGAGTATGACAATGGGAAAGGTACCAGATGCCACCAAAGCCAGCCTGCTGCCCGGCAGTCTTAGTTATGTGATGAGATGTATGAAAAAGATCAGCCAGAGCAAAACTGCAAGTTTAAGCCTACTGTTTTGTTCATTCAGAATAAAGACCATGGGTTAAAATAAAGCTCTAGATATATTTTTAAGGAAATTTGTACTATACAGATCCATGAAGCACCTCACTTAATACAAATGCCAGTGTTCTAAAACATGGGACAATAGTCTTCTTCCTGTACATACTCCCCTAACCTTGCCAGGGGCCTGGGGAATGCTGCTGCTTCCTCTAGAGTCTCGGGATCTTAAAGTCCCCATCCACACGGGAGGGCAGACCGAACACTGGGTTACTACTACGTCGCAGGACTTCCAGCAGTCAGCAACACTTGGCTTAGAGCAGGTGCTCAGATATGTGAATATTAAAAAGAAAAGTTAAAAATAAGCCCGACAGAAAAGTTACAAAGCCCTCAGAGACAGAAAACCAAAATCCCTGGCAATTATCCATCATAATAGGTAAAACACATTTCTCATGTTCTGCTGCTGTGGTTCCAGAGAGCATCT